CCTAAGCTCTAGAGCCCGCAAGCCACAACTACTAAGCCCACGTGCCACAACTACTGAAGCCTGCATGCCTAGAGCCCGTGCACCACAACAAAAAGAAGCCACGACAGTGAGAAGCCGGTGCCCCACAACGAAGAGTAGCCCTCGCTCGCTGCAACTAGAGAAAGTCCGCGCGCAGCAACAAAGACTCAATGCAGCCAAAATAAAATAAACAAACAAACAAACAAACAAATCGTAGGGTCCTGAGGCTGGTTTACTATGTCCCACCAAAAAAAGGAGCTTTCTCCACCTGGTGGCTGGTGGGGTCATTGCACTATAGAGTTGACCCATTTACAGAACCATAAGGTTTCTTCAGGGTTTTGAAGCTCCTGGATGGATGAAGTGGCATTAATGGAGGACAACGAGACTGGGAGTGCCAGAGCAGGGCCGTGTCTGCCCTCTCTGTAGTATGGGCTTGGCACAGGGCAGAGTAGGTGAGGTTGTTAGGTGGACAGATGGTGAGAGGGAGAAATTGTTTTTCCTATTCTTTTGACACTATTGACTACCCATCAGAAGGCCTGGTTAGGGGTTGGAGCAGCTCATTTGACAGGGGCTGCTATGAGGGAAGGTCTTTCTTCTTTACCATCTCTGGGAAGAACCCCTGCCCATCACCACCTCTTTAGGACTTTGGCTGAGAACTGTGATTTCTTCCAATTTCTAGTTCACAAGAAAATACCTAGGCCTCAGGTCACATGAAGCTGGTGACAGGTCTCAGGCCAATGCCCAGGGATCCAGAATCCCAGACCAGTGTCCTCCATGACATTCCTCCTGGCAGCTATATGGGTACATACACAGTTCTGTGTCTGCATTGAGGGGCAGTTGCTTGCCAACACTTGCTGTGCGTCCAGCTCTGAGCTAAGAGCTTTACCTGCACGATTCCATTTCATTTTCTCCTCAGGTGTCATTGGCTGCAGCACCTGGGGTGCCTGAGATAAGTTGAAGTTCCGTATCAGTGGAAGATGACTTCTTGCTGGAGCCCAGGGAAGAACTGCCTTTGGTCAACATGTTGCCTTTTTTCCTCCCTCAATCAGACTGAATTATGTTCTGGCATTTCATAAATCACTGAGCCTTAATACAGGGGGCTGAGCCAGATTTCATCTGCCTATAGACTTACCTTCCCAGGCCAATGACAGAAACAGTAGTCATCATTTACATAGCATCTCTCATGTGTCACTGTAATTGTTTCATATGTACCTATTCTTTTAATTCTCTCAGTAACCCTATAAGGTAGGTAAGTACTAATGTTTTACCCTGAGGCACAGATCAACTAACCAAGATCACATAGCCCAGCAGTGGCAGAGCTGGGGTCTGAACCTTGGCTGCCCCATTCCAGAGCCTGAGTTCTTTGCCACTGCACTGGGCTGCCCCTCCAGGGCTGATGCCTTTCCCTCTGTGAGAGCTCCCTTGGACACAGAACCATGGGCAGGAACTTCCTCTGATGTTTACCTTCTGGATTGTGTATTGTGGGTCTTGGGCCACAATGGAGAACATTCCAGCCTACAGAAATTCAAACCTGATCTCAGGGGTGCTCAGAGTAAGAGGAGCCCTGATATGAAGACAAGACCCTTGGATTCAAATTCCTGGGTGCCACCAGAATGGTCAAAATTAAGAAAGATCAACAATACCGAGTGCTGACAAGGATGTGGAGCACAAACTCTCCTACATTGCAGGTGGAAATGTAAGTTGGTAGAACCACTTCAGAAAAGTATTCAGCATTATCTAGTCCAGCTAAACACATACCTACCCTATGATGCAGCAATTCCACTCCTGGGTATATGCGTGCACATGCACACCAAATGACGCATACAAAATTTTTTACAATAGCTTTATTTATAATAGTTCAAAACTAGAAACAACCTAATTGTCCATTAACAGTAGAGTGGATAAATTGTGGTATATTCATATAATGGCACACTATACAGCATGAAAGAAATGAACGTTTTTATTTCTTTTTTTTTTTTTTTGGCTGCGCTGGGTCTTCATTGCTGTGCGTGGGCTTTCTCTAGTTGCGGCGAGCGGGGGCTACTCTTCATTGTGGTGTGCGGGCTTCTCGTTGTGGTGGCTTCTCTTGTTGCAGAGCACGGGCTCTAGGCACGTGGGCTTCAGTAGTTGTGGCACGTGGCTCAGTAGCTGTGGCTCACGGGCTCTAGAGCGCAGGCTCAGTAGTTGGGGCACACGGCCTTAGTTGCTCCACGGCATGTGGGATCTTCCTGGACCAGGGATCAAACCCATGTCCCTTCATTGGCAGACAGATTCTTAACCACTGCGCCACCAGGGAAGTCCCTGAAATGAACTTTAAAAAAAAAAAATGAACTTCTGATACACACAACACGGATGAATCTCACAGACATAATATTGAGCAAAAGTGGATGTATGTATGAGTCCCTTTTTATAAAATTCAAGAGCAAGCAAAACTAATCTATGGTGATAGAGGTCAAGACAGTGTTTATTTCTGTGGGATACTGACTAGGAAGGGAAACAAGGCAACCTTTTGTGGAACTGACAATGTTTTATATCTTGATCTGGAGGGCGACTGCCCAGGTGTATACACTATACTCATCAAACTGTACTCTAAAAATTGGCTCACATTACTGAATGTATGCTGTATCTCAAAAAATTAAAGAAATGGTCAAGTAAAGATAATCACTGAGTACGGCTGACAACAGTTATTTTTTCCCACCCACATCCACTCTTCTCCCCTGGTACAGAAGGAGCTCCACACTTTCTTCTTTTAGGGATGCACATCACTCCCTCTTTCAGTCAATGTGCCACACTTTCTTCTTTTAGGGATGCACATCTCTCCCTCTTTCAGTCAATGTGTTTTAGGTGGAGGATACTCCTTCCCAAGCCCCAAATCAGAGCACCATTTCCCCTAGCTGCAGCGATTGGTTTAGGGATGGGAACAGATCCAAACCAGCTAATGAGTCAATTCCAGAATTTTTTGTTGGAACCAAGAGAAAGATGTTCTTTCCACTGCAGTTACCAATCTATCAGGATATAAACCGGAAGCTGCCAGTGGCCATCTCCACCTTCTGGAGAAAGTCTGCCCAGGAAAGAGGCCACACAGGAAAGCAGAGTGAGATTAAATTCCTCCTGATGATGGTGTCAGAACCTGAATCTAAGCCGTCCCTGTACAAGGATTTTTCATTAGGTGAATCAGTAAATTTCCTTTTTTAGGTAACTGCTTTAAGTTTTTTTTTTAATTAAAAAATTTTTTTGGCTGCGTTGGGTCTTCATTGCTATGCGTGGGTTTTCTCTAGTTGCGGCGAGTGGGGGCTACTTGGTGTGGGACATTCTAATTCTGAAGATGATTTTGTCTGTGCTTTAAATTTTTCATCGTTTTCTTATTTTTCATGCAGTCTCTTAAGCCTTCCCTTTCTCTGTTCTGTGTACTCACAGACTTGCAGCAGCAGTGGGAGCTCTGTTAGAATTTGTTGTTTATTTCTCTGCTCGCTGGTCATTTGAAGTTTGTGGTGTTTTGTCTCCCAATAATGCTGAAGACATTGGTCATAGGTGGTGTTATTTCTGGTCCTGTTGGTCTTGTGGTTTTTTCTGGGATGATATGTGGAGAGATTCAGATTTAGGTGATTACCATTATCTTCTAGACCTTTCATTTTCAGACATTCTGGATCACTTTATTATAACACAGTCTCTTATATATAGCTTTGAGTTGAATTTTATTAGATTCTGTTGTATTCACTATATTTCTTCTTCTATATTCTTTGAGTTTTGGTGCTCTGCTTTTGGCCTATTTTTTGGTATATGTTTTTTGTTTTAGAGTTTATCTTTTTTTTCTTTTATTTCTTTTTGGCTGTGTTGGGTCTTTGTTGCTGCGCGTGGGCTTTCTCTAGTTGCAGCGAGTGGGGGCTACTCTTCGTTGTGGTGCACAGGCTTCTCATTGCAGTGGCTTCTCTTGTTGCGGAGCATGGGTTCTAGGCATGTGGGTGGGCTTCAGTAGTTGTGGTGCGCGGGCTCAGTAGTTGTGGCTCCTGGGCTCTAGAGCACAGGCTCAGTAGTTGGGGCGCACGGGCTTAGCTGCTCTGTGGCATGTGGGATGTTCCTGGACCAGGGCTCGAACCAGTGTCCCTTGCATTGACAGGCAGATTCTTAACCACTGCGCCACCAGGATAGTCCTAAGTTTCTTACAGTTATAACTAGAGTCTAATATACCAGGAATCTTGGGTAAAATTATGAGAGGTGTGTGTGGGGCTTGGAATATAGAATAACCATTGAGCCCTGTCCAGTCTGTTTTGTGGGTTCTGCTGCTGCCCCTGCTGAGTGGCTACTTGCTCTGTGAGACCATGGCCATGCCAGATGAGTGAGGCAGGCCCAGGGGTCATGTGGGAAGTACTCTGTCCTTGTCTGTAAAGGGCTCTTGACTAGGAATCTAGAGAACCAGATTCCACCATGTTGTTGCTTCTTAGCAGCAAGATCTTGGGCAAATCAGTATACCTCTTTGAGCTTTGTTCCTTTCCTATAAAATGGAATGTCATCACCTAGCTCAAAATGCTGTTATACAGATCAAATGCTAGTTTCCCAACTTCTTCAGTTTTTTCATACCCTTGGCTAAGTTAGTGCCTGCATCTTATGCATTCCCACAGCACCCTGTATACCCTCTAATTATTGCCATAATCATCTTTAACAGTGTATGAGCTCCCCAAGGGCAAGAGAGTGTTCATTCCTGCATCCCCAGGCCAACAGGGCTGGGCACACAGCTGGCAGGGACTCCTGAATCCAGACTAAGAGGTCCTGGGACTTCCCTGGCTGTCCAGTGGTTACGACTACGCCCTTCCAATGCGGGGGGCGCAGGTTCGATCCCTGTCGGGGAACTAAGATCCCACATGCCATGGGAAGCGTGGCCAAAAAAAAAAAAAGAAAAAAAATTTAGACTAAGAGATCCTGCAGGTCAAGGGCTCATAGTATGGCAGTTCACTCACCTCTCTGTCCTTCACTTCCTTGCCTGGTAGACGGGGCTGATTGTGACATCTTGGGTGGGGTAGAAGGACTCTCGGGAAATTGCTAAGGCAGTCTAGGCTTTAGAAGCTGAGAGCTGTGTAGGGTCTTTCCCAGCTGGCGAAGAGCAGGTGCCCAAGAACGGCTTGCTGAGTGAAGGATGGGAGCTGAGGCTGCCTGGGCACCTTCCTCAAATTTGGCTGTCTGGAACAAACGTTGTACAAAGGGCTTCTGATTCCATCACATGCACTCCTTTCCCAGCTCATTTCTGGGTCATGGAAAAGGTTCTTCCAAGAATCACCAGGGCTATGATAAGTCCCATGGAACAAACCTACTGTTGTGTATTAGCTGAGTGGGAAAAGGCCATCTCTTCTTATGCATCCTCATTCATTCTTTCATTCAACAAACTATGTGACACACCACTCTGTACATTAGAGGAATGGAGATGAATGAGGCTAGGTCTCTGCCCTGAAGGAGTTAGCCTGGAGAGAGCCATCCTGGATACAGCTGCCATTCTGGCCTCCCTGTATGTCTGTCTCCTTTCCTGCTCCCCTGCATTCCTTCTCCACACAGCAGCCACATGAGCATCTCGAACAAAGTAGACTCCCAGCTGAAACCTTCTAAAGACCTCTGTGAGGCCCTCCAGGACAGGGGGGAGGTGGATGAGCAGGTGAGCTTGTATTGAATTTAGGGCATCTGCAAGTTTTCTACAGAGCTGCCAAGCAACTGGATGCCTGTCTCCGTCCCAAGTCTTCAAATCAGTATTTAGGGTGCTGGGAAGTCTGAGCAGGGTGAGGGTAAAGGTAAAGGCACACATACTAGATCCAAATCCCAGGTCTGTTAAGTTGCAGTCTGGCTCATTGGAGAAATTGTTTATTTAGATGCTTCAGTGACCAAGAGATAGAGCATAAGCACCCCCCACACACACATACACGATACATAAAGGCATTTACAGGCGAAGGGACAGGAAGTGTGGGGAGGAGATCACGAGAGCAGCTGCAGGCTTCTTTGACCCAGTGAAGAGGGACCTCAGATGGTAACTCTCCCTGGAATTCCTGTTTGAAAGCTACAAGGTAAAGTCCACTCCCAGTGAAGTGCCAGGCCATAAAACACAGCAGTGTTAGAGAAATCTAGGTGTGGGGTCAGGGAAAAGTCTGTTTCCTCACTGCAGAAACTTACACCAGCTCTTTTCTTCCCTTAGGGGCCCATCCTGCTCCTCGGTCCCCAGAATCTCCTGGGGGATGATGGGGGAGGACTAGCACCACAGCAACCTGGGCAGATGGTCTGCTGCACAAGGGGAAGGAGAGGGCTAGCAGGGCTGAAGGGCAGCAATTAACCTCTGAGCTGGCTGGCACAAGGCAGTTTCCTTTTAAGGGTACAAAACCATCAAGGAAATTTGCATGTGGGGACCTTCCCACGTGACCCTGTGTCAGAGCACCTCTGATGGAGGAGGGGAAAGGCCTCTATTGGAGGTTTCCAGTACCCATCCCACTGGGTACTGAGGCCTCCTTCGGCTAGCTTGTCCTCACTTGCTGCAGATTCTTAGCACCATTCAGGAACTGTGGAGAATGGGGGGTAAGAGGAATAGCAATGCTCTGCCAGGACTGTGTCATTGCTCTAGGAGGAGACTTCACAGTCGGCAGAAATCTGTACAACTGGCCAGCATCTGATCCCAGGCTCAGGAAAGCTTGCACTCTTTTGGGGGAGAGGGAGTGTCATATTAACTCCAAGTTTCCATGTGGCAGCCACTTCCATCTGCCCTTTCCTGCCTAGGCCAAGGTCTGGCGTGAAAGCTCCAGGTTTCACTGGAGATACCTAGAGCCCAGGGAGAGCTCAGTTCTTCAGCTGCAGGGACTGGTCCAAAACTGACCTGCAAAGGAAAGATAGGCCTGGGGCCTCATGACATATAGCCCAGAGGAGCTGGGGAAGGGGAAAGGCCGTCCTCCAAACTACCATTCTGGGATACCCCAAGTCCTGTCAAGATCTCTGCTTCCCTCATCCTGACCTACAGGGCCCATTCCAAAAAGGGGAGGAGCAGGGGTGGATTTGCCTGGACCAATCAGACGCTCTCTGTGGTCCACTCCTGCCTCAGGCCTGTGTATTCTCCAGGTGTAAGAAAGGAGGAAGAAGGAGCCAAGGGCTGACCATAGTCACAGAAAGTTGGCTCATGGCTGGTTCAACCTGGAGTGCTGGACAGAAACACCTCTAGTTTTCCAAGGTGGCTGAGTCTTTATGAATGGGTTGCCTTTGCATGGGAATCTGGCCCAGAGGTGATGCCATTGTTTTTGGTGACCTGTAATTTGAGAAGGAACAAAGGCACAGGGTTAGTTTGTAGTGGTTGTGATGGTATTCCAGGTAGCTTATTCCAACGGTAGTACAGCTCTTCCAGGGCAGGGAGTAATAAGCAGGGCAGCTCTCCTTTACTGAGGGCCACTGCATGCTAGGCACAAGGCCGGGTGTCTTGCTTCCAGTATCCTATTTCATTCTCATGCTAATTCTGCAAGGGGGGGACCAGCACCCCCATTTTACATATGAGGAAACTAAAGTTCAGAAAGTATAAGTGACCTGCTCACAGTAAGCTTTTTTTGTGTGGTAGATTCAGGACTGCAGCGTATGTGTTTCCTCTATACCAAATCATTTATTCTGCCTACAGGGCCCTACGTGACCTGGACGGTACAGAATGACCATTCTCCCCAACACATGGAATGAAATGTAAAGTGGCTCTTCTATCACTATCCCACTAGCACCACCTGATATTGTCTTATATGCTTATGGATTTGTTTAGGATTTGCTTCTACCACCAGAGGGGGATCCAAAGGATCAGGGAACAGCATTGGTCTTGGTTCCTACTGTAGCCCCAGTGCTCAAAACAGGGCTTGGCACATAATAGATACACAATAAATCTTTGTTGAATGAGTGAAAGCTTATCTCTAACAGCTCCCCTTATCAGGACTAGAACTTCACATATATTATCTCTAACCCTTATATCATCCCATAAGGTGAGGATAATGAGCTCCATTTGGAAATGGCAGAGCAAAATGAATAGACTTTGAAGTCAGAGGTTTGAATCCTGGGTCTGACTCCAAGTAACTATGAGATTGTGGGCAAAGTTACTTAATCTACCTGACATTCGGTTTCCTTGGGTTGTAAAGTGTGTGTGTGGGGTCCTAATTTGGAGCTGCTGGTGCAAATTAATGAGTTTGAATTAGGTGTCCAACAAATTGTACTATAATCTTACAGAAAAGGAATTGGAGACTCAAAGAGGTTTACTGACTCACCCAAGGTCACACAGCTGGGAAGTGTAGGAAGAAAACAGTAAACAACACTAGCATTTTCAAGTCTGGGTAGTCCCAGGGTAGGGCTCTGACTGGTTCCACGTTATCTGACAAAATTGCCACCAGCCAAGCTGCAAGGGAGGTATGCTGAAACAGGAGTGAGATGCAGGCCAGGTTTCTATGGCTTGTCTCAAGTCCATATCTAAGAGGAACCTCAAGAGTCCTCTCAGTTAAAGACATATCTATCAATAAAGCCGCAGTGTAGGAGAGGAGACTTCAGGCAGAGCAGAGAGGACCAGGGATGTTTTGACCCCAACACTCTGTACTTCTACCACTTTTATTCATTTGGCTCTGTAAGCAATGCAGAACCAATCACCAAAGTCAAAGCAATCATTTTAGCAGACTTGCCTGACTGAAACTGTTTCCTCATCTGTAAAACGGGGATAATTCCTATCTCAGAAGGTTATGTTGTGGCACACTGCCCACACTGCACAGTTCCCTTCTAAGAGGCAGGGACAGAACCATGTGGGCCCTCCCCGGCAGGACCTCACCTGTTTATATCATATGGCGCCACAACCCCCTTGTCAGCATGATGCCCTGGAGCAGCATGCTGTGAGCCAGACAAGCCTCAGTGTGAATTACGGCTCTGCCTCATAATACCACTCTGAACGGTGGTTGCCATATCTGTAAAATCAGAGTAATAACCCCTTCTTCCCAGGATTGTTGTGAGGATTACCTGAGAGAATTTGCTTGGCATGTGGCCTGCAACAGACCAGGAGCTCAAACAAAGAATGTTAGTCATTTTCAAGATTATCATGAACAGATGACTCTGCTAATCTCGTCCCTTCAAAGAACTTATCACAATTTGTAATTATTGGTTGTTTACATGCTTACTGTTTGTCTCCTCCCATCAGAATGTTGGGTTACAAGAGTAGGGACTGGGTCTGTCTTGGCTACCGCTCAGAGAGAGGGTGTTCAATATTTGATGAAAGAACCTGGTCATATTTGGTAATAACCAGTAGAGGGAGCTCTTGCCACATAATTGATGGCAGTGAAGACTAAGGTCTTCAGGCCAGTGGTGAGTGGGGGTGGGGGAGCTTCCCTAGTCAGACTGCTGACAGCCAAAAAATCTAGGAGACCACCAAGGGAATTGTTTATGTTTCTCTACTAAAACCTTCAGCCCAACAGGTCTAAAGGCTGGGGAGAAGCTGATGGGAGAAGAACTTTCTGTTAATGGATTGAGCTTCTGTTGACTGGCAGAAAAGACTGCCAGGATTCCCTTTTAGCCAAGGAGTACCTTGGCTTTGTTCTGCTTCCAAAGCCCTGAGCTCCTGCTGCAGGCTCTTGAATTTCAAAGTATGATTACTCACTGGTTCTTGTGTTTGAAGCCGCTGACATGAGCTTGGTACTGTTCTATGGAGTTCAGCACTATCTTACATGTCTTGCAGGCGTAGCCCTTCCCGGCTGAAACACACAGAAAAGTCAAGATGCTTAGTTATCCAATAAGAAGGGACCTGGGGACTGCTGCTTTCCACAGCATGTGCAAATGCCCTTCTGAAGATGGATGGGGGGGGGGTGAGGTTAGGTGATTGGCCCTGATAAGAATCCCAGTGGCCTCAATGCTCAGGGGGCACATGTATGCCTGGGGCTGGGAACCTCCTCGTTCCCCTCTGTGCCCTCAGTCCCAGCACTGAGCCTGGTCCAGAGTAGCTGTCTGTTGAGTAAATAAAAGATTGCTAGAACAAAGAGGTGACATTTGGTGTAACTGTCTTTTCCACCTTGACTGTGCTAAGTAGCCTCATTAAGGATGCCTTTAGCTAAGAGATCTCTGGGAAGGTGCCACTCTCTTTGGGCTTGCAGTAACAGTAATTTATGAGGCCTGTTAGCAAAATCAATCTCTCTCTCTCTCTACCGTGGGGCTCACAGACACCCTGTCTCACTACCAGGGCTGCTCCAGTGACAAAGTGGCCTTTCTTCACATGGTCTAGCAGAGAGAGCATGGGCCAGGAACCAAGATATGGGGCTGGACTCCTGGCTCTGCATTCACGTGACCTTGGCTAAATCCCTTCCCCTTTCTGATCCTCAGCTTTACTCAACAATAAACCAACTATACCACAACCATCATACTTACAATAAAAAGCAGCTATTGTTTACCAAGTGCCTGATATAGGCCATGCACTTCATATAATTTTGATTGGTGCTCATAATGATTCTGTGAAAACCATTATCATTATTCTCTTAGAGATGAGGAAAATAAGGCATGGTTACATGTCCAAGAACACAGAGTTAGTAAATGGCAAGCAGGCTTGGCTGACTGCCAAGGCTGTACTTATTCAGCATGCCAGGTGCTAGCTGCGCAAGACAGGCAACTGTACACATGACTTCAAGAGTCCTCTGACACCTTTTTTTTTAAAAAAAAAATGTATTTATTTTTGGCTGCATTGGGTGTTTGTTGTTGCACGTGGGCTTTCTCTAGTTGCGGCGAGCAGGGTCTACTCTTTGCTGCTCTTGTTGCGGAGCGTGGGCTCTAGGCGTGCAGGCTTCCATAGTTGTGGCTCACGGGCTCTAGAGCGCAGGCTCAGTAGTTGTGGCGCATGGGTTTAGTTGCTCTGCGGCATGTAGGATCCTCCCCGGCCAGGGCTTGAACCCATGTCCCCTGCATTAGCAGGCAGATTCCTAACCACTGGGCCACCAGGGAAGCTCCCCTCTGACACCTTTTGAATCATCTGCCATCCTAAAGTCTCACAGCTCTGGAGTGAGATCATCTAGGTTCAAATCCCAGCTCTATCATTTCTTACTTGTAGGACCACAGGCCAGTTACTTAGTCTCTCTGGGATTTGCTTTCCTCATTTGTAAAAGTGGGGCTTCTCTGAGACTTAGGTTCCTTACCTATAAAATGAGGTTAATACTAGTATCAACCTCATAAGGTTATTGTAATGATTCAAATAAAAGCAACTGGGACCTAGTAAGTATCCAATAAATGTGAACTTTTGGCTTATCATCACTCTTATGAGTTCCATGAGTGATGCTGGCAAAGAAGTGGAGAGTATCTTTTAACCAGCCTTCCATGGCAGTTGCAGCTACTGAGAACACCAACGATCTCCTCTAATCCAATAAACTAGCAGACATTCCCAGCTACATCTGTTTCTCTTGTATCTTCAGGTATTTCCTGGAAGACACATCCCTTTAAAGCATTTAAGGGGAAAATTACTGCAATCAGAATTCAGGTCTTTTTTTAGACACTGAAGGCCAGAATTAATGGTTCAATACTAACAGGGAAAAGATGCATAATGGACTAGCAGGATCACCCTCCCCACAAAGTCCAGAGTTGAACCTGAAGCTGGTGTGGGGGTGACAACCACCCATTCTTATCAGTTAAGGGTCACTGATGCCCAGATTACAACAGCCCACTCTTACCATCTATTAAGCACCAAGCACCATGCCAAAATTCTGGATACTTATGCCCTTGGATTTTTACAATAGTGCTGCAAGATAGGTGATTAGCTCCATTTTTCAGAGCAGGAAACAGGCTCAGGGAGGTTAAGTGGTTGACCTGGGGTCAGAGCTGGGATTTGCCCTCTGGTCTGTGAAGCTCCCGTTTTTCCTTCTGCACCACAGGTCTCTGGACTCTCCTATGTGAGGTACATCTCAGCACACAGTTTACTGATCTGTAAGCTAGATTCAAATCATCATTTGGGGCAAGTGAATAATTCATTGGTGCTTCTAAAAAACCAGCTTTGTCCAGTACCCACACTAATCCATTTTCATTTTACATGTTTGATACTCTGGTTTACCCCTGTGATTTTATGAAGTATAAGTCACTAGAGTTGATTTTTAAACATCTGGTTTATTTGGAAAAGCACCTGTATCTCCTCCCCTTTACTGCCAAGACTTTTGAAAGCCCTGTCTACAACTGCTTCTCCATTTCCTTGTCTCTCAATTACTTTGCAACCTATCCTCCTACACACACACACACACACACACACACACGCACACACGCAGTCTTTCTGAGGCCAATGGAGGCTTCCCTGTATCTGAATTTAATGGACAAAATGAATGCTTATGTGGCCTCTTCATATTTGACCTCTCAACAGCAGCTGACAGAACTGGTGACTCCTTCCTTCTTCAAAGTCTCCCCGTCCTTGGCTTTCAGCATGCCGCACTCTTGATTTTTCTTCTCTGGTGGCTCCTTCTCAGTTTCTTTTGCTGTCTCATGTTTGACCTCCACCATTTAATACTGGCAGTTCCAGAGGGCTCAATCTTGGTTTTCTTTCTTTCTCTCTTTAAATTTCTTTTTATTATTTTAAATTGTGGTAGAATACAAATAACAGAAAATTTACCATCTAATCCATTTTAAGTGTACAATTCAGTAATTGTAAAGGACAGTTCTGGGTTAGAGAAATTTGTGTTTTCATCATGTTAAGTATCTTCACATTGTCGTGTAACCAATCTCCAGAACTCTGTCATTTTGTAAAACTAAAAACCTACACCCATTAGACTCCCCATTTCTCCCTCCCCCTAATCCCTGGCAAACCACATTCCTTCTGTTTCTATGAGTGTGATTACTCTTGATATCTCATACAAATGAAATCATAGAGGATTTGTCTTTTTGTGACTGGCTTGTTTCACTGTGCAGAATGTCCTCAAGGTTCATCCAGGTTTGTAGCATGTGCCAGAATTTTCAGGGGGCTCAATCGTAGATCCTTTGCTCCTTTCTCTCTAAACTCTAAGGGATCTCATTCATTTCTCTGACTTCAATGACCACTTATTAGTTTAAAACATATGAAACTACCAATATTTAACAGTTTCTGACCTACCAAAATGGCAATATCTCTAACCCAGACCTCTCTTTTAGGCCTAGACCTATATATCCAATTGCCTCTTGAACATCTCTACTTTGATATCTCGTGGGCATCTTAAACTCAAGCTGCCAAAACCTGGTTATTCACCTAATGGCTTCAGACTAAACCTGGGCACCATCCTTGCCTGTTCCCTTTCCTTCATCTCCCACACTGGATGGCCAATTCTACTTCCTACATACCTCTTGAATCTATCTATTCCTGTCTACCTCTACCACTGCTATCTTAGTCCAGCCTCCCATATTCTCCAGTATGAATTATTGCAATAGTCTCACTGCTGGTCTCTCTCCACTACCCTTCCTCCCTAATTGCAAGCCATTCTCCACTTTGTAACTAGAATGATCTAATAATGCTGAAGCTGTGAGTAGCTTCCCAATGCTCTTAGGATAAAGGTCCAAATCTCTAACATGACCCACAATGCCATGACTAGATACTTGCTCATCTCGCCAGCAGCATGTTGCCCCACACTATCTCTCTTGTCCCTGGTCCCCCATCTTAAGTTATCTTCATAGCATCCTGTTTGTTTCCTTTTCTAAAGCTTGCCACACTTGTAGTTCATTGCTCAATGCCTGTTTTCTCTGCTAGACTCTAAGCTCCACAAGAATATGGACAATACCTGTCTTGTTTATGTAACCCAGAGGGGATGCTGAGAGCTCTGGCTGCTGGAAGGATTTGGCTACCTGAATGATATGCAGGTTTTAGTTTTGACATTCTTGAGTGAATGAGAGGAATGTGAGCTTGGAGTATAAAGCAAACTCCAAGTCTTGTTTAATCTGCTTGGTAGATGCTGCATCCACCCCTGGTGGGAGAGATCTGGACACTCTGGATCAGATACATCTCACATTTGACCCATACTCATCATGAGACACTTGCCAGGAGCCCCATGGAAACTGTTCTCTGGACCTAACACAGAACCCTGACTTGGGTTTCAATGCTGGCTGCCACAGCCTAGTGTGGGACCCAGAACAAATCATTTCATCTTTCTGATCCTAATGTCCTCATTTGTGAAATGGTGATAATCAAATGTGCACAACAGAGTTGTTGTGTGGATTAAGTCAGGTAATTAAGTGTGAGAGCATCTAGCCTAAGGCCTGGACTACAGCAGCCATTGGTAAGTGCAGGATGACTGACTGTCTGAAAGAACAAATGAACAAGGGTTGACTGAAGCCAGCAGGGAAAAGCCAAGCTGCTAACAACCTAAATCCTTTGCTAGGGCAGAACCCCTGTCAGCAGAAGTCACTGCTTGCATACCCTAGGTCAACATCCCACCTCTGTAAGAAGGGGGTCAGAGAGAGCTCAGTGTCTCTGCTGACATCCAGGACTCGGAGAGCCTACAGCCAAGTACACTCAGAGCTGAAGGCAGGGAGAAGGAGTGTACGTTTTGGAACCAGACAGAGCTACAGACCCCTACTGATGCTGTCACTTATTAACATCAGGTCATATCAGCTGTATGACCTGAGCAAGTCATTCTGAGTCTCATCTTCTTTATTTGTAAAGTGGGAAAATCACAACTATTTTATAGGAATGCTGTGGGGATCAAATTATAATGTATATATAAATATCAAAGTAGGATGTGATACCCCTTCCCCCCACCTAGATTTTCATGAAAGAACTTAGTTGATCTGTAATGAAGTCAAATGATTTAAGCCAGAAAAAAGGATCCAGGATACAGTTCTAGGATTAAATATGGTAATTTAGCTTAGACAAATGGAGGAGGGTAAATACAAGAAGGAGGCTTTGGCTTGAGATAAAAGAAAAGAATGGATACAAGTTAAGATAAGCAGCCTGAAACACTGCAGTGCCTCAGTCCTGCCAGTGGAAAAGAGATAATGAGGGAATGACCAGGGCAGGACCGAGTAAAGCTGGGGCAGGAACTGGAACACTGGGTTGTGCTAGCTGGATGCTATGTCGTGAAGCAGGGCTCTGAGGAGCTTGGTTCTGAAGTTTCCAGATGCCTCAGCATATGGAATTGATCCTGTTAAAGGGAAAGGCACTACCTATATGTAGGACCAGTAAATAAATATTAGTCATTCCTTTCTGATTTTGAAGAGGTTTCTAAAAGAGGGTCTTTCAAAGGCTTTGGAAAGGCGATCCTTGGCACCCTGCTAAAGGAATCTCCCCCTTGCTGCATAGCCACCACTTTGCACCTTCTCATCAGTCAGTATTGCCCAAGGACGGCCTGTGTTGTATGGTGCTTTGGGGTTTGGGGGGTTGTTAGAGAGGCATGATCGTTCCCCTTGCCCATATGTGGTCTGGAACATCTATTGCATCTGGGTGTTCACCTCTCCAGGATTGTGGGAAGAGCACAGATGGCTCTGAGCAAGAGCTTCCTTGCACCTGGATGCCATGGTGCTCTCTGTCTGGTGCTGCATCTCCATGGCCTGGGGAAGAAGCCCTGGGGACCCACACCAATGCTTAAGTGGGCGCCACAAGACAGAGACTGTATCAGATTTGGTCACTACTATACCCCAATGAGGGAATGCAGCAGGTTTTCAATAAATATTTGCTGACTGAAAGAGAAAATAATAACCTCCCCCTCCCCACCCTTACTATAAGCTGTGAGTAGTTACTGTGATGGGAAGGGCTCCTAACTTTTTATGAATGCTCACTCCTGTGATGCTGACTTGTATCTGGAGGTCAGGGCAGTAGCTAATGTTCTGAGTCAGAGTGGTCTCCTTCACCACTCTATCCCAGGGACACAGGTGGGCCTTAGCTGCTGGGAGACGAGGGATTCTGAGGACGTTATAAAATCTGGCAGAGGCTGCTGAGGCCCTCACACAAGAAACGTGGATGACAGGGAGTTTAAATCAGAGGTTACAGATTGGTGGCCCTTGCCCCAAATCTGGCTTGCAGGCAGGTTTGACTCACATACGGTTTAAACTTTTAAAAATTTAGTTGCACATTTAAAAATCAGGAGAATTCTTATTCAAATCTGGCTTCTAGATTCTTTTGAAAAACTGAAAGATATGGTAACAACTGGCTGGAGCTGTCTAGGAGAGGCACATACCCTCAGCTGATCATATCCCCTACTGGCTCTTTCACATATTGAAATTTCCTGTCCAGCCTCTGCAGGCATTTGAGTTTGCAATGCCTGCTTCAGAAGACCTAAGGAGGAAAAGCATAGCCTTGGTGGTCCAGGGAACCCCAGCAGTCAAGCCCCGATCCAGCTCTGGGTGTGAGCTGAGCCCCTTACCTGATGAGTCAGTGACAGCAGGGTCGGCCAGCCGCCCGTAGTGTGCCATAAGTTTGAGCTTGGTCTCCTGTTTCCTGTGTTTCTTGCCCATATAATGTTGCTGAGCCATGACAGGGTCATTGAAAGTCGCGTGGCAGAGGCTGCAGAACTTGTCTGGGTCTATCATCTCTCTATTCTGGTGCAAGGCTAAGGTGGAGGCCACAAGGAAAGGGTTTGTAAGGCGTTTCGACAGAGCTGCGGTGAGAGAGTTCAAACAGAAACAATGAAAAAACCCAGAAGGTGCCAGGCTTTCGCGTATGCTGAATGCAAAGAAAGGCTGGGTCACTAGTTAATCACACCTGCAGGTGTGGCACTGCCTGTGTGAATCACACAGTGAAAATCTTCTCTAATTGAGAAGATATGGGGAGCCCAAAGACCGCCTACTTTGTTCGGCAGCTTTAACTACTTCAGGCACATGAATCCTGATTTTCTTAGATTCAGAGAGGGATCTGCACTTCTACTATCAAGTTGACAAATTACAACAGATTAGATATGTACATGCTTGCAATCTTCTCATCCCTCAGAATTCCCCAGAACTTCACAGCAAATAGGACAAGAAGTTTGGGTGTTTTACTCCCATCCTCAAAGTATCCCAGTTATAGATTTGGAAGTCAATGCACAGATGTAGAAAATGAGGGCCTGAGGGCCTGGAGGGTCATTTAGAAAAGGCACTATACTAGGGGGGCCTTTTAGGCTACACTGCCTTCTAGGCTGAGTGGGGGAGCGGAGGATGACATTGACATTTAGTTATGAGATTTGTATATATATTTTCTCTTTTGGTCCTCAGAACTATGCCATGAGGTAGGTGTCATTTTGCCACAATACAGAGAAAAACCGAGGCTCAGATGGGTGAAATGACTTACCCAAGATCACCCAGCTAATGAGTGAATACAGGCCTGTGTGATCCTAAAGACCATGCCCTCTCCTCTATGCCAGGCTGCCAGAGCGTGGCAGGGAGATCTGAAGGCTACAGTCCATGCGTTCACCTTCAGAAAACATCCCTGGCTGTGGTCCATGAATTCAGTTAATCAGAGCCTGGTATGGGCATATATGTAAGCCTCCCGTGGGCCAACAAATGTCCTGATGCTGACTGCAGGCTGCACTGCTGCTTTATAAAGTGGATGTCATGACTCACTAATGAGTCCACGTGGCTGGAATGGTGTCAATCTAGTAACCACTGCTTTAAAAATGTGGTCTAGAACCCCCACCAATGGTGGAGGAGAGGTGAGGCTCAGCAGCACTCACAGACAGATGTTCTTTCATCTCTGTACCACTTCAATGGGGGAAGTTTTGAGGATTTTCAACAAGCCAGAAGTAACTTGCTGGCTTTTCCCACAATGGTTTTCCAGTATAGGAAATCTCAATTTCCCTGGCTACTTGATTTTCCTTAGCCATTGTTTCAGCAAGTCACTGGAAAAGTAAGGTACATGTTGTAGAATATTCAGTAATATTAGAAAATATTCAGTATGTGGTGTTGAGTTAAAAAAAAAAAAGCAGGTTATACAGCAAACTGGTTCTTATGTCCTTGGTTCTGTAAAACAACAAAAACCATACTGGTGATGTGTGGAAAAAAGACCAAAAGCATTGAGCAGAAGTGTGCTTTTCAGTCTTTTCCAACTTTTCTACAATGAATGTAGATTCTTGATATCAGAAAAGAAATAATCATGACCACTGAAACATAAGGGTCTTTCTTTAAAAGATACTGAAGAGAAGCATCAGAGGTGAATGGTTAAGTAAAGTTGGAGGAACCACTTAATAGACATCCAGTAAAAATGAGAGCTACAGGAGTCTTCTCTCAGGAAACAACTTGAAATATGGAAAGAGAATTCTACAGGAATGTTTGCTGTAGTGTTATTTACAAACATTAATAAAGGAGAGGGGGAAAACGTAAATGTTCACCATTAGAGGACTGGTTAAATAAATGTGCTGTGATGGGATATTGTCATTAAAAATGTTTATGAAAAAGTTTTTAATAACATGGGGAAATACAAATATTATATTAAGTGAAAAGAGCATAAAAGAAAATTATACATATGATACGATCATGTCATTATTAAAAGATATAACGTGCAATCTATATGTGTATACTGGTATTTTGAAATGTTACCAACATATTAACAGTGTTTCTCTCTTGATGGCAGGATTTGGGTGGTATTTTACTTTCCTCTTTGTACCTTTTGCATTGTTTGAACTAGAAATAACAATAATGAGTATGCGTTGTTTTTATAAAAACAATAAGGTTAAAGTATTTTACGTTTATATACATAATCTAGACATACATAAAACACATATACGCACAGATATACACACATACACATAACAAAAGATTATAGGAGAAACAGTACTCCAAAATGTTAACAGTGGTTATCTTTGAATGGTAAAATTATGAGTATTTTTCTTTCCATTTATCTATATTTTCCATATTTTCTACAACATGCTTGTATTACTTTTACATTAGAAAAATGTTTAATTTCAGAAATATATTTGTAAACTCATGTAATAACATGGAAATGTGCTTAAACTACAAAATCAAAAGTTAAAGCAGGATACAAATGGTACATGCACTATGATTATAACTATATAAAAACATACCTGTTATGTGGCAAGGGCCAAAAGTAAATACAAAACATAAACCCTTGAATATGGAATCTTTGGACCAGGCATATTCCAGGGAATTTTCCCATTTATAGAAAGTTAAGCTCATATAAACCTAAAGATAAGTGACCATATAAAGTTCTGTTCTTAAGCTAATTTCCCTTGGTCTAATGTTTAATCTTTTTGGTACCATAAATGGTACCAACACTGACTTTAAACAAAAGCAATTAGTACTAGTATAACTTAATGATGAACAAACCATAAGCAAAGCCAGTGACACGCTCCAGGTGGTGGATGCCTGATCAACTACTGCATTTTATGTGGGGATTCCATTCACTGGCTATCTTGATGATGGTGATAATACTAACAATAGGAACTGTCGGGAATTCCCTGGCAGTCCAGTGATTAGGACTTGGCACTTTCACTACCAGGGCCTGGGTTCAATCCTTGGTCGGGGAACTAAGATCCTGCAGGCCACTTGGCCAAAAAAAAAGAGAACTGTCCTTTACTGAGCATTTATTACATCCTAGGTTCCTTGTATACCTTATTTCATCCTCAAAACCTATGAAGTAGTATTATCAACATTTTATAGGTGAGAAAACTCAGGCACAAAGAAGTTCAGTCATACAGATGGTAAATAGCAGTGGCAGGATTTAAACTTGGGCATCCATGACTTTATCTCTTGTTTCATAGCAGGAATACTAGATTGGGGTATAATAAGAGAGTATAATTATGAGTGATTTTTTTACCCTCTCTTCAAAGTCTTCCAAAACATCACTGTCTTGTTTTTATAATACAGCAATTCAAAAAAGGACAAGTATTATAGATATTATAGTCTACTTCTTGGTCCAAAATAAAGACAGAAGCAAAAATTACCAAGAAAAAAATAAAATAAAGATCAAAGAACTTTCAGTTTTGACTAATTGCAGTTAGCAGAGGTTTAAAATCCCAGAAAGTCATTAGTTAATGAGATGAAAGTGAAGGCTGAGCCCCAGTGGTGACAAGATAAAGGGGGCTATTTTAGAAGTCACTGCACTGGGAATGAATTCATGGCAGTTGCAAATACAGTTTGCTGGGCAGTAGTGGCAGCACTGAAGTATTCAGCTTCGAAAGGCAAGTCCCTGTCTTGAGGAGAACAGGCAGCTTTGAGGATTAAAGTGAGCAGGGCATAACCTGAGCACACGAAAAAGACACGGATTTAGCTTTTAACTTGGAATGCATGGCAACAGGGCAGGTGGACGCTAGGAGGGAAAAATCTAAGTGAGAGAGGTAGGAGATGGAATGCTCTCCTGGTGTGCATAGCCTGGAGGACTCTGGCACTCCTGACTTATAATTATTTTTAAGGACAAAAGCTCAGGGCTAAGAAGCTTCTATAGAGAAAAACTGATGTAACCAAAGAAAGGGAGGTTAGGTGAGTACAACTCCGAGGATGCATTTCACTGAAGCTGGGTCTACTTTGATATTTTTAAGGGCTCTCAAAAGCAGTTCAACCTCTTCAAGTCTGTGGCCCCAGTGAGCATTTCTGGGAGCACCTGGCATTGGTGCCTTGAGGACGGGAGGGGTCCCGATACATAGCACCACTCAGGAAAACCAGTACCTTCCACCTTAGTGGATTGCTGCTTCAGCTTTAAGTTCTTTGCGTGGGTCTTCCCCAGGTAGTGCGACTGGGCCACGACAGGGGAGGAAAAGGTCATGTTACAGATGGGGCAGCACTGGTTCTTGTCTTTGCTTCTGCTGCTCTTCTGGTTAGGAGAAAGAACACAGGTCTGATCACGCCACTGCCCGGCCAGAAAATCTTCACTGGTTCCCCACTGCCCATAGGAGAATGAGCATTCAAGGCCCCCTTCACACACTAACCCCAACCTACCTTTCTGGATTCTTTTCCAGCTACTTCATCCCATGCTCTACTCACCATTCCCCATTTTGTTCTCTGCTACTTCCTTGTTTTACTTGGGCCATTCCTGCTGCCTAGAATGATCTTCCTTTCTTTACTGCCTGGCATATGTCTGCTTAGCCTTCAAGGCCCAGATTAAATATTACCTCTTCTGAGAGACTTTTACTCAAGAAAATTACTCAGTAAACAATTATCAAGCCACTTTGTGTGATTATTCCAGGAAGGAAGAACTAATCTTGTTCTTCCTCTGTACTCCTGGAGTGCATTAAATAGACCTCTATCATACCACTCGCTTGTCACCCTAAACTGACAGTGTCACAGCTTAGGAGACTTTTCTGTGAACTAAAGTGCAACATTTGGGCAAAGACTGTTGGATTCATCTTTGTTTCCTATCCTTAGCACTCTGCTGGAGTCTGGCACACAGCAGATGTTCAGGGTTTGATGAACAAGCAGATCATTGGGTTTAATTTCATGATTATGATTAGGCTAGAAAACAATGTACTTCAAGTCTATATTAAGAGTTCCCAGCCTCTCTCTTATGTCTGATTTCTGAATACAGTATTCATTCTAATATAGCATTTTTCAACCTTGGTACTATTGTCATTTTGGGTTGGATAACTCTTTGTTGGACGGGGAGGGGCCCACGATCTCATTAGAACTACTGGGCCACTCCGAGAGTAGAAGGATCAGAGATATAAAGAGGTGAAGTGACTTGCCCAGGGTCACAGAGTTGATCTTGTCTTTCTGGATTCTAAATCACAAGAAGGGCAACCAGGGGATGAGCCAGTGAATTTGGAGAAGGGATAAGCAAGGCCCTTGCAAACCTGTGGTCCCTATGACAGGGAGGCACAGTTTGTAGTGTAAGCTCTTACTCACTGAGCATCCACTAGGAATTGGAATTTTACCTCACAATACCCTTAAGAGGTAGGAACTATTATCTCCATTTTATGGGTGAAGTACAGAGAGGTTAAGTGACTTGTCCAAAGTCACCCAACCATTAAGTTGTAGAGTTAGTATTGGGCCCTAGTCTGCTGACTTTTCATCCCATGACATTTGCACAGCCTGCTATGGAACAAAAATAATGGTACACCTGAGGCACTGGGGTTGTTTCAGCATAATTCTCACAGTATTTCTAAGGCAAAAAGCAAACATGCTGGAAAAGTGTTTATTCCACTTGTTTATTCCAAATATTCAAGTATTGAACTCAGCTCTTTCCCCCAGATCTCAAGAAAGCAAGCAACCTGGCTTTCTTCCACTTTCTCTTCTTGAGTAGGGAATGGACAGCTGTCCTACTCTAACAAACCACTGACAATGGCTCCATTTACTGAGCCCCTACTATGTGCCAGGCTCTGTGTTGGGTGCTTTAATAAACCTTCCTTCATTTTAGTTTGGAAAAATCCTGAAAGGTAGTTGACATTAGCATCCTCATTATTATAGAGGAAGAAATCAAGGCTCAGAGAAGTAATAAGACTTGCCCAAATCACAGATCAGAGAAGTAATAAGACTTGCCCAAATCACAAATCACAGAACAGGGCCAGGATTTGTAGCCAAGTCAGTCTGACTCAAAGCCCATGTTCTTTCCACCACACCAACCTGCCTGCTGGCTTCATCAGGAAGTGAGCAGTCTCAACATGGCAGCTGTATTACCTGATCTGAGTCTAGCTTCTTCGTGTCCCCCTTTAATGTCTCCATTCCATGGATTGCTAGGTATCTCTTCACTTTGTTGGCATGTTTTTTGCTCTGCAAGAACCCAGGAAAAAGATCAAAGATAGCTAAATGCCATTTCATATCTAAGGCACTCAAAAACACTAGATTTTCATCTGATTCATCCTCACAGACACTTTTGAGGAGGAGAGGGTGGGGGAAGAAACCTAGTTTATTGAGTTCCTACTCTGTATAAAGTACTTAAATGCTGTCAAATCTAATCATCACAATAATTTATGAGAAAATTATCATCATCTCAATCTTATAGATGAGGAAACTGAGGCTGAAGATAGTGAGGTTTCTTGCCCAAGATGAGTAGCGGAGATGTGATTCAAACACAGGTCTATTTAAAGCCAAAGCATGTACTTTCTACTGTACCAAGCTGCATGGGAACATGTAAGTATAATGATCCTGATTTGGATGGAAGAAATGAGACTCAGAAAAATTAAGTCAATCTTCAAGTCACAGCCAACATGCATGGAGGCAACACCTGGGTGGCTAAAAAGGAATTCACTGCACAAGCCAGGGAGAAGTGGGGGTTTGACACTGGGTCTGGAAAAATAAAGCAGTACTAAAGGTACAAGGGCATACCTGGTAGTGTGCCAGCTTCTGGGACTCAGAAATTAGCAAGGCGCAGCAAACCTTACACTGGGTGCTGGTGAAGAGACACTGGTTCTTCTGGATCATGTGTTCCACTACAGAGAGGAAAATAAAAAATCTTTGAGTTAAAAACCTGCCTCAACAGCACTGTCTTTGAACCTTGCCTCAAACACATGAACTGAGTAATGGAATGCCATACTATTAAATCGGCAAACCTCAGCCACCCCTGCCCTACTGCTTTCATGACTCACGCTATATTCTCGTGCCACCTCACCTGTAACTTACTTTATACTTTTATGTACGCCAACTTTCTATCTTTCTTTCTAAATGATTATTATTATTTATTTAGTTATTTTTGGCTGTGCCACATGGCATGTGGGATCTTAGTTCCCCGACCAGGGATGGAACCCAAGCCCCCTGCAGTGGAAGCGTGGAGTCTTAGCCACTGGACCGCCAGGGAAGTCCCTATGCCAACTTTCTTTACTAAGTAAATTCTTTTAAAAAGGAATCTTTAAATTATAAACTTAAGTAAATACCAATAAAAATAAATACAATAAAAATGAAACAATTCTAGCCAGATACTGGTGTGAGAGGCTTGCAGTTCTCTCTAAAAAGAACATTAAGAAAGTGGCAAACACAGTCTCTGCTGCTGTCACTGCCCCAGTCTCTTCCCCCGGCCTCTTGTTGCCACTGAATTGCCAAGATGTCACTTTCTAACAAGCTGACTCTGGACAAGCTGGACGTGAAGGGGTAGCGGGTCATCATGAGAGTGGACTTCAATGTTCCTAGGAAGAACAACAAGATAACAAACAACCAGAGGATCAAGGCTGCCGTTCCAAGCATCAAATTCTGCTTGGACACTGGAGCCAAGTCAGTTGTTCTTATGAGCCATCTGGGCTGGACTGATGGTGTCCCCATGCCTGACAAGTACTCCCTGCAGCCAGTTGCTGTAGAACTCAAATCTCTGCTGGGCAAGGATGTTTTGTTCTTGCAGGACTAGAAAGCTTGTGCTGACCTAGCTGCTGGGTCTGTCATCCTGCTGGAGAACCTTCGCTTTCATGTGGAGGAAGACGGGAAGGGAAAACATGCTTCTGGGAACAAGGTTAAAGCTGAGCCAGCCAAAATGGAATTCCGTTAGGTAATTTTAGATATTTCAAAATCAGATCAAGAACAGTGAGAAGGGACTTCCCTGGTGGCGCAGTGGTTAAGAATCCGCCTGCCAGTGCACGGGACACAGGTTCGAGCCCTGGTCTAGGAAGATCCCACATGCCACGGAGCAACTAAGCCCATGCACCCCAACTACTGAGCCCACGAGCCACAACTACTGAAGCCTGCACGCTTAGAGCCTGTGTTGCGCAACAAGAGGAGTCACCGCAATGAGAAGCCCGTGCACTGCAATGAAGAGTAGCCACCACTCGCCGCAACCAGAGAAAGCCTGCTCACAGCAACAAAGACCCAATGCAGCCAAAAAAAAAATTACCTAATGTGTCACACAAGTTCCACACCATAGGAATCTATAGTATTAACCTGTGCTTAATTGTTGGGCCTGGAAAACAAAGCTTTACTTTTTGAGGAGGGAGTAAAATCTCACACAAGGCATGAGTTCTATCATGACATCGACAATCTGAGGCAGGGGTAGAATCTGGCAAATTCATGTGTTTTATCTTCTACTCTGGACCAAAAAGTGGGCAAGATTCTCTGGAGGGAGGTTCTTGGGGGGGAACTTTTTTTTTTTTTTTTTTTTGCGGTACGCGGGCCTCTCACTGCTGTGGCCTCTCCCGTTGCGGAGCACAGGCTCCGGACGCGCAAGCTCAGCGGCCATGGCTCACGGGCCCAGCCGCTCCACGCCATGCGGGATCTTCCCGGACGGGGGCACGAACCCGCGTCCCCTGCAACGGCAGGCGGACTCTCAACCACTGCGCCACCAGGAAAGCCCGGGGGGGAACTTTTAAGGTGCCTCTCCCTACTCCACAAGATATAAAGCTTATTTATTTATGCCAGCCCTTTTGGGAAGAAGGGCTGTTGTCTGGCTATATTTCTGACCCTGAGGGTCTTTTGTTTATTTCCCTATTTTTCTCCTACAGTGTTTGGTAAATTTTTGTGAAAGACTGTGGCTGCCTCAGCCGTGCTCAGAGAAATCAACAGAAGTGGGTCTATGAACACATCTGGGCCAGAGCTTTTTTTTTTTTTTTTTTTTGGTTTGGGGGCCTCCCACTGTCGTGGCCTCTCCCGTTGCAGAGCACAGGCTCCGGACGCGCAGGCTCAGCTGCCATGGCTCACGGGCCCAGCCGCTCCGCGGCATGTGGGATCTTCCCGGACCGGGGCACGAACCCGTGTCCCCTGCATCAGCCGGCGGACTCTCAACCACTGCGCCACCAGGGAAGCCCGGGCCAGAGCTTTTTAAATGGAGGGTGAGAGGCTCCTCAGAATGCAAAGCCCATAAAGGGAAAATGCTACCCAGGAGTCAGGATCCAGCCATTCTCTCCTCGCATGGAGATGATGGATTTTGTTTTATTAAAGGAGACGGGGTTTCCTTTCAAGGATATTCAGAATCTGACTCCCAAAGACTAAACAGGGCAAGGACCACGTCACTTATGACTTTGTATACCCAGTATCTAATAAAATGCCTGACCCAGAATGGCCATCACTAAAAAGTCTGCAAATAACAAATGCTGGAGATGGTATGGAGAAAAGGGAACCCTCCTATGCTGTTGGTGGGAATGTAAATTGGTGCAGCCACTGTGGAAAACAGTATGGAGGTTCCTCAAAAAACTAAAAATAGGGCTTCCCTGGTGGCGCAGTGGTTGAGAGTCCGCCTGCCGATGCAGGGGACACGGGTTCGTGTCCCGGTTCGGGAAGATCCCACATGCCGCGGAGTGGCTGGGCCCGTGAGCCATGGCCACTGAGCCTGCGCGTCCAGAGCCTGTGCTCCGCAACGGGAAAGGCCACAACAGTGAGAGGCCCATGTACCGCAAAAAAAAAAAAACCAAAAAAAACCAAAAAAAAACTAAAAATAGAGTTGCGATGTGATCCAGCAATCCCACTCCTGGGCATATATCCAGCCAAAACTATAATTCAAAAAGATACATGCACCCCTATGTTCATAGCAGCACTATTCACAATAGCCATGACATGGAAACAACCTAAATGTTCATTGATAGATGAATGGATAAAGAAGATGTGGTACATATATACAATGGAATACTACTCAGCCATAAAAAAGAATGAAATAATGTAATTTGCAGCAACACGGATGGACCTAGAGATTATCATACTAAGTGAAGTCAGAAAGAGAAAGACAAACACCATATATCACTTACATGTGGAATCTAACATATGACACAAATGAACTTATCTACAAAACAGAAACAGACTCACAGACATAGAGAACAGACTCATCATTGCCAAGGGGGAGGTGGGAGAGGGATGGATTGGGAGTTTGGGATTAGTAGATGCAAACTATCATATATAGAATGGATTAAACAACAAGGTCCTACTGTATAGCACAGGGAAGTATATTTAATATACTGTGATAAACCATAATGGAAAAGAATATGAAAAAGAATATACATGTATATGTATGTATATATATGAAACTGAATCACTTTGCTATACAGCAGAAATTAACACATTGTAAATCAACTATACTTCAATAAAATAAATTAAAAATAAAATCCCTAACCCACAGGAGGGGCTTGGTGAATACCTGCTGAATAAATGAAATACACATCTTTGGCCTCAGAGAATACATTCACACAGTTCACAATTATGTATTCAGAATGCCTTCTACGTGCCAGCAATGGGTTTAGTGCTGGGGTCATGTCAACAAATAAGAGAGAGTACAAAGTAAATAAATAAGCAAGATAGTGACAGAGAGTGAGAAATATTATGAAAACAAGCAGACAAAGTAAGTGGTAGAGAATGTTGGGGCAGTATAGTCAGTGAAGACCATGCTAGGGAGGCGTTAGCCACAAGAAGGTCTGGGGGAAACTGTTCCAGCCTGAGACAGTGTCAAGTCTCTGAGGCAGGGATGAGTTTGGCATATGCAAGGAATGAAGAGAAGGACAGTGTGGATAGAGTATGGTGAATGAGAGAATAGTGGTAGGAAATAAAGTTGGAGAGAGTTTGAGGCCTACCAGATCATGTGGAATGAGTATAAGGCCTCATAAACCATGGTGTGAACTACAGATTTTATTCTTAGTGCAATGAGAGGTGACAAGATATGGCTTATGTTTTGAAAAGATTAGTCTATTCGTTGTGTCAGCAGATTGTATGGGAATAGGAATGGAAACAGGAAGAACAGGGAAGAGGCTGTTGCAGTCTTCTAGGCAATAGATGAAAGAAATGTGGACTAGGCAGGTTGTCAGTGGAGATGAGAAAAGTGGATGGATTTGGAATTATGTTCTGGAAGTAGATCTGACATCCAATTTCTTTGATTGGATGTAGGGGGTGAAGTAGGAGAGCATTCAAGGATAACTCCTAGGTTTTGAATTTGAGAAACTAACAGATGAGAACTGGAGGAAGACAGCCTTGGAGGAGAAATTAAAGACGTTTCCTTTGGCTATATTAAACATGAGTGGTCTATCACATACATGGGTAGAGATATCAAGTAGTCAGCTAGAGATTCAGGCCTAGAGCTTGAGGGAAAGGTCAGAGCTGGGGATACAAATTGAGACTCCTGGGACTGAGTCTTGGACCCTCCAAATTTAGAAGTCAGGCAGAGGAAGTGAAGTTGAATATAAAATGAGTATGAGGCGGGACTTTGGCTATAGCAGAGTGAGGAGATCCTCTTCACCCAAGGCAACTAAAACACTGAACAAAATTGACAAAAACAATCCCTTCAGTACCCTGGAAATTGACCAAAGGCACTTAACAATCTGGGAAGCACTTATGCTTGTACATCTGCTGAACTTTGGGTGAGAAGAGCGGGAATCTGGGACTGCTCTCATCCCCTCCCACACTCAGTCAGTGCAGAGGTTCTACCAGGAAGAGGTAGGATGTGAGAACCAATAGCTTCCCTGTGGAAGAGGAAATCACTTGATTTGGAGTGGTGGGCAATGCCCCTATCTAGTGATAATATTGGTGGAAGTGATGGTCTCAGAGGTAGGTGAGGAGGAAAGGCCAAAGGCTCCACTATAGCCTTTGCTGTGTCATGTTTGTGGTTGAGACTGTGTGGCAGTAGGGACCTAAGAGGGCCCAAGTTAGCCACATACTCCTGGCCAACTCTGAGGTTGTACACATGCACAGAAGAGATGCAAAAGGCCCTGACAGAAAGTAAAAGCCAGGGCTGACTTTAACATGGCCTGAACTTTGAATGTAATTTCCTACCTACCTACAGATCCAACCGAGGCCTTTACTGGCTCCAGGTGTTTACTGAATCACTGGTTGACTACTAAGCAACATATAGACACATGGAAGACAGAAATTATAAAAACGAACCAAATTGGGAATATTTGCTCTTAAAGTCTTCAGCTACCATGTAAGCGATTTTCTTCCAGGCTGTGAGGAAGCCTTAACTATTCCATGCATGAAATCACATGGAGAGACCCTGAGACTATGTGAAAAAAGAGATGCCCGGCCAGCCTCCAGAAGTTCCATCCCACTGCTGTTTCAGCTCTAGCCACTACCTGACTGCAACTGCATAAGAGACCTTGAGTCAGAACTGTCCAGCCAACCCTTTCTTGAATTCCTGACTCACAAAATCTGTGAGAGATTCATGAGGTTGGAGGAAGCTAAGGTCCACAGAGGGAAAAAGAACTTATATGAATTATCAGAATTCTGAGAAGGTGGCCTGAATGTGAATCCCTGTTTCCCAAATATCCACATACAACTCTAATCCAATTACCAGAGGGGATAGGTTTGATACAGGAAATTAGATGCTTAGAAAATCATTGGAAAGGCTGAAGGTACTAGGTTGAGCCTTCCAGAAGTGTCTCTAGGAACAATGCATAACTGTTCCAACAGGTGAGCTATAATCTCTGAGGCCTCCACTGCAGCCTTGCTGGAAGTAAGAAGCTTCCATTGTCATTGAACATGCCTCTTAACATATGAAGCTGGAGAATGGATGCTGGAACACTGATGTAAGAAGATCTCATAGTTCCACGACCTTTCTTGACAATAACAATAGCTGTAGAAATATGATCTTCACTGCATTTCTGCCTTCCAAATCTTACGAGAAGGCATCTGATTGGCAGGATTTATTTTGTATCCATATTGTAGACAATCAGAAGAGGTATGGGGCAGAGGCTGAGAGATCTAGAATGCGACATAGAGGGCTGATTTTCATAGGGTCATGAAGTAGGGACAATAAGTCTAGCCATATCAACAACTAAATTAAATGTCAATAGTTTAAACAGCCCACTCAAAAGGCAGAGATTGGGCTTCCCTGGTGGCGCAGTGGTTGAGAGTCCGCCTGCCGATGCAGGGGACATGGGTTCGTGCCCCAGTCCGGGAAGATCCCACATGCCGCGGAGCGGCTAGGCCTGTGAGCCACGGCTGCTTAGCCTGCGCATCCGGAGCCTGTGCTCCGCAATGGGAGAGGCCACAACAGTGAGAGGCCCACATACCGCAAAAAAAAAAAAAAAAAAAAAGGCAGAGATTATTAGAGAATAAAAAAACAAGATTTATACAATGGAATTCTATTTAGCAATAAAAAGGAATGACGTATTAATACACACTACAATTTGGCTAAACCTCAAAAACATGCTGAGTGAGAGAAGCCAAATGGAAAAGACTATATATTATAGGATTCCATTTACTGAAAGGTCCAGAAAAGGCAAATTTATAGACAGAAAACAGATTAGTGGTTGCCGAGAGCAGGAGGTAAGAGTGGGGATTTAATGTAAAGGAGCACAAATTGGAGTGATGGAAATATTCTAAACTGGACTAGGGCTATACAACTCTATACTTTTACTACAATTAATTGAATTTTACAGTTACAATGGGTGAATTTTATGGTATGTAAATTATAACTCAATGAGAAAACAAAAATTATAACTAAGAGAAAATAAAAAACCAAGGTGAGTAGGACTCGGTGTTTTAGGTATCTACCTAGACCTCAAATAAATTATTGGACAAAGTGAGGAGAGCAGGGAAGTGAACTGGGTTCTAAATGACTGTGGGCATTCATACACACATAAACAGTTCACTTCCCAGAGCACAGCTGCTGTGTTCTCTGCTTCAATGTCCAAGGCATGCCTTCTGTATCCCCTGAGGACAAAGGGCGCTTCCTCTTTGTGTACCCTCAACTCTTAGACTTCCCACTTCACTGCACCCACTACATTATACTGCAACTGTCTTGGTGTCTGCTTCCTGGATTAGACTACAAGCCCCTCCAGGGCAAGGCCAGTATTATTCTCAACTCTGTAGCTCTGATGCCCAGCCAATCCTGGGAACAGAGCAGGCATCAGTGAATGTTGGTCAAATTAATGAAAGGAAAATTGCAGGCGGTGGAGGGTGGAGGAGAGGCAACTTTGTGCCAAACAAGTTTGAAAGTATGGGGGTGAGGGGGATAGGAGCCTCTTATTAATTTAGGAGTCAGACTAGACTAGTTTTTAAATTGGAGAAATATACACCAGGGTATAGGTATGTATACCACCCCAAATTTAAACATATCTTCCTTGGATGTGGTCAAAAATTCCATTTTATCCCAGGACAATCAGTTCACAAGCAACATATTAACTTTCCAAGATTAGTCTGCTCAGCAAGCAAACAAACCTTTAGAGAAATCTGACTTCCCTGCAGATTACCTGACAGGATCAGCACAAAAGCCCAGTTTGTGTACTTCTGGGTTAGAGTTAAGCAGCTAGCTCTGCTAAGGACTGTGAAGGGGGTCACAAAACGGGGTCAGAGCAGCTCTTTCCATCCTCCTCTTTCTATCTCCATCTTACCCAGGGCTAGGTCAAGTGCAGAACAAGCTGGGAAGCTTCAGCCCAGAAGTGCCCCCCTAGAGAGACTTGTATATCCTGTTCTCCACAACCTTGGGTCAAGCGTGGGATACAAAAAGCTGGAGCCATAGTATACCCGGCCAGGCTCCCGGGCTCCTGGCTCCCATATTAGAAAAGGGATTCAAGTGGTGGAAACAGGTGACACCAAGAAACAGGGGTAAGCCAGGGCTCAGTCTCCAAGTTCAGGAGGCACACTGAGGTATGGAGAAGGCCTTCTAGAGCCCTCGGAAGTGTGGGGCATGAAAGAAGGGAGGCAAGAGACACTAGGGGGGGGGGAACCTGGAGACTGGGATGGTGAAGGGGTTACGAGGCTGGCGGGGAAGGTTCTGAGGGTCTCCGAAACGGCGTGGACGGCACGCCCGGAGGATTCCAGTCCTCAAGTTTAGGAAGAAGTAAGCTCTCGCGGGTGAGGAAGGCGGGGTAAAGAACCACGCGGCCACAGCGTGAGAAGGCCCTTGACCATTTGCGCGCGCTTCTTGTGGCGTACAGCCTGGATTTTCAGGGGAGCTGGCACAACGCGCCCAGGTCTTGGTGAGGTGCACGAGTCAGGGAGTCCCGGGGCGCATCACGCCAGGGGGGCGGGCCGGGCGCCAGAGGGTGTGACCGTAGACCCGGGGGCTGGTCCGCGTCCCCGCCCCGCGCTTCCGCCACTCTCCGCGAAAGGAGCAGGCGGGCGAGTGTCTTCCTGCCTCTGAAGTCCCCGGACTCACCTTCCTCCCTCCCCACTGGTTGGGCCCCGGACACTGCTTCCCAGAGGCGGCGCGCCCTCTCGCGGTCGAAGCGCAGCCCGTCGGGTTCCCGGCCCTCCCGCTCCTCCGAGTTGTTGTACGGCCGGGCCGCGCCGCTGTCCGCAGCCTCCGCGGTGCCCAACGCGGAATACTCCATCTTCCCCACAAACCCTAACCGGCTATAGCCGCTCATGAACCTTGGTCTCGCGAGATGTGGGTGGGAGGATGGCTTTGCCCGGCCAACAAATCTCGCGAGGTTTGAGTACTGCAGGCTGCGTTGCGGTTCTGACCCTGGCCGTTCTTTTTCGTCGACGCTGCTGGGATTTCGGAGCTTGTGCAGTGGATTCGGAAGTCGGTCGCAGGTTCCACCGCATACCCCTCCCTCCGGGACAGGCTCGTGCAGTCCTTGGCTCAGGGTTCTCACCTTGCTCCGGTCAGCATTTGACACCTCACTTCTTTCGCATGAAGGCTCTGTTATGTGGGAATATCTTCTTCATTTCACTAGCAGGGCAACATTTGTTGCCATTTGAGTTCCAGATGCTGACCCCCAGCCTAGACCTCGCCCTAAACTCCACTCCAAAGTAACTGTCAAAAGCCAAAATTTAATCTTCCAACCCCGCACCTGCTCCTTCCCCAGTCTTCCGGAGCCACTATGTCTTGGCTGTGGTTATTGTAGCATCCTTACTGGTCTCTTCGCTTACCTTTAAGGTATTCCCAAAACAGTGGCCCCAGCGATCCTCTTATAACAGGCCATATCATGACACCCCGGTGCTCAGATTCTCCAAAACTTTACCATCTTACTCTTTTTTTTTTAAATTTATTTATTGTTGTGTGCGTTGGGTCTTTGTTGCTGCACGTGGGCTTTCTCTAGTTGTGGCGAGCGGGGGGCTACTCTTCGTTGCGGTGCGTGGGCTTCTCATTGAGGTGGCCTCTCGTTGCAGAGCACGGGCTTTAGGCACGTGGGCTTCAGTAGTTGTGGCTCGTGGGCTGTAGAGTGCAGGCTCAGTAGTTGTGGCGCATAGGCTTAGTTGCTCCGCAGCAATGTGGGATCTTCCCGGACCAGGGCGCAGACCCGTGTCCCCTGCATTGGCAGGTGGATTCTTAACCACTGCGCCACCAGGGAAGCCCTCGGTGGCTTCTCTTGTTGTGGAGAATGGGCTCTAGCCGTGTGGGCTTCAGTAGTTGTGGCATGTGGGCTCAGTAGTTGTGGCTCACCAGCTCTAGAGTGCCGGCTCAGTAGTTGTGGCACAAAGGGCTTAGTTGCTCTGTGGCATGTGGGATCTCCCTGGACCAGGGATCGAACCCATGTACCCTGCATTAGCAGGCGGATTCTTAACCACTGCGCCACCAGGGAGGTCCCCTATCTTACTCTTTGTAAAAGACAAAGTCCTTGGGTTAGCCAACAGGGCCCTATACAATCTGACTTCTCTTAACCTCCCTGACGTCATCCTCTATTTTGTTAGCCTCCAATCCCTTCATTCCTGTCCCAGTTACCCTGGCCTTCTGGAATGTATTTCTCCCATATAGCCTCATGGCTCAGTCTCGCATTTCTGTACGCCCCTCCAAACACACTTCATATCCTCCTTTACTGCTTTATTTATTTTTTTCTCCTTAACACTTATTATCAGATATAGTATGTACTTTGCTTTTTATCTTGTTTATTGTTTGTTTCCCCACTGGAAGGCAAGCCCCAAGAAAACAGGAATTTTTGTCTGTTTTGTTCTCAGCTGAATCCCCAGCACATTGATATAGAGCCTGAATCCTCATAGGTACATACAAAACATTTGTTGAATGAATGAAACTTTTGATATTAAGTTATTCCAACCTCAGTTATTCAAACACTTGTTGAGAGTTTTCTATGAGCTAGATGTTGTCTTAGGCATTGGAATACAGTGGTAAACAAGACAGACAGAGAATCTCTAGTAGAGTGTTTTTTATTCTAGTGAAGGAGAGTGTAATAAACAAGTCAACAGGAGGAGAAAATAAAACAGGAATATATATTGGGTGAATGATAGGGGAGGAACATTAGTCAGGGTGGTAAGAGAAAGCCTCTGAAGAAATGACAATTTGACCTAAGACCTGACTGATGAGAAGGGGATGGCCATGCAAAGAGCTGGGGAAGAGTGTTCCAGGCAGAGGAAATAGCAGAGGCTCTGAGGCAGGACTGAGCTTGCTGTAATAGGAGGAACAGGAAAAAGGACAGTATGGCTGTAGTGCAGTGAACAAGGGGGACAGTGGTATCAGAGGAGGAGGAGAGAGATTTTTCTTGCCTGAGATCACAGAGCTCATCAGTGGTATTTACTCATTTAGACTACAAATACTGAGCACCAGCTCTGTGTCAGGCCTCATGCCAGGCTCTGGAGCTTCCAATGCCATAGATGACTGATGTTTGTGAGTGCTTTATAGTTTATGAAGCACCTTTAACATACATTATAACGTTTAATCCTCAGGGTGGTTCTCTTATGATAGATTCTTATTTGACGATAAAGACAGAGAGGTGAAGGTTTTTATCAGGGTCACACAGCTAGTTAGTGACAGAGCCCAGTCACTAGTGTGCTTGAACACACCAGTCTTCAGACTGCAAATCCATGTCTTTTTGCCAATACCAGATGACCAGCCTAAAAACCGATGACTATATGTTACTTATTTATCTTAAAGAAGATTTCTAGTTACTCATATTTGCATAGCATGAATTGTTCAGGTAGAAATACGAAGGGATAGAGGGCATTTTTGTCAAAGTCCCAGAACTCAAGCATATGTATTTTTTAAGCACAGTGGAGCAAATCTTGAGAATGGGATACTTAAGATGCTATACATTATTGGAAATAATAATAAATAATCCCCAGTTCCCCACTCCCAATCCAATTAGATGCTCAAAATAACTTCCATTTATTCTCCAATGAATGCTGTCACGATTTGTCCCCTGTGTCACTGAGGCAGAGTCCTGAGCTACAGCACTGAGTGTCTGAACAGCCCGTGTCACCATTTTTCTGCTTTGTGTAAATGCTTCTAATATTGGTCCAGGCCTGGACTCCTTATTGGGATCCAGCAGTGCAGGTGATGCCTTGTATTTGTGGGGCTTTTTTATTTCTTCCCTGTGGAAAATGAGAACCACTTCTCAACATGTTCTACTGTGTATTGTTGCTATGGGAGAAGAACAATCCCAGGGAAATGGCTTTGTGAAGGGACAGAAATTGGCCACAGTTCAGCAAACATTTCAGTTGAATAAACAGTGACTGTGTGTGTGTGTTCTTGGGCATGCAAACCCACACTACAGAGCTTTTTATTTGTTATTTATTTTTAAAATTTTATTTTATTTATTTTTTTATATTCCTTTTTTTTTTTTTTTTGGCTGTGTTGGGTCTTCGTTGCTATGCGCAGGCTTTTCTCTAGTTGCGATGAGCCGGGGCTGCTCTTCGTAGTGGTGCGCAGGCTTCTCATTGTGGTGGCTTCTCTTGTTGTTCTAGGCGCAGGCTTCAGTAGTTGCAGCACGTGGGCTCAGTAGTTGTGGCTTGTGGGTTCTAGAGCACAGGCTCAGTAGTTGTGGCACACGGGTGTAGTTGCTCCTTGGCATGTGGGATCTTCGCAGACCAGGGCTCGAACCCGTGTCCCCTGCATTGGCAGGCGGATTCTTAACCATTGCGCCACCAGGCAAGTCCTACAGAGCTTTTTAGTAAAATATGGTTCCTACTCTCAGGGAGATTAAATTCTGGAGATGAAAGTATCTACTTATACATGATATCAGAGAGTATATGTTAACTGCTATAATGGAAGTGACAAGTGTTTTGATTGTGCCCAGGACTTAATTTATAGAGGTGACTGAGTGATGACACAGGAGTTCAATGCCATTGAAAGTTTTATTATGTGCAGTTCCCAAGAGGCCCATGCAGGGCCATATGGGGAAGCACCAAGGTTGGTCAGGAGGCAGAAGGTGTGAGGGGAGAGCATTGCCCAGAGCCTTTATTGTGGTTTCCCCAGGAAGGAATGGGTGAGGCAAGGTAAGAGGTTGGGTTGACTAGTTTGAATAATTTCAACAGGGCTCTGGGCCATAGGAGTGGTCCCTGGTTTTCTGGTACCTGGCCCTAGGGTGATTTAGGGTAGTGAGAATATTGGTTTGGTGTATGAGAGTCCATAAAGGAGGTGGTTAGGGATACTGGTTTGGATTGGTTGGTTTGCATATGAAAGGTGTGCTTGAAGGCAGGTGGCTTTCTATCTCTAGGAATTAGCAAACCCTGAGAGGGGCAGTTCCATCCTGGTCTGCAAGGTCCCAAGATGTCAAAGCATCATAAAATAAAACAGAAAATTAAAACAAAACAAAACAAAACATGAGTAATACAACAACCAAGGCTAGTGTGCATAGGGTGGGACAAAGAAGCCACAGTTGTGGGGATCATGATGGTTTCTGGGTTACCCCATATGATGCTTTCTACTTCTCAGCTCTGCGAACACATCTCCAGCTGTTACAAGTGGCCATAGATTAGGTTTTACTAACAGGATATGAACAAGTGTTATTCGATTCGAACCTGAGATTAATCCAAAACAGCATGGGTGCTCCTGAGGGAAATTGTGGAAAACAGTTGCCTGTAGAAAACGACTTGCCTTCACTCTGCGGGGGTACATCTTTGCTACAATTCTAGTCTATTTCTCAGGCTAGGTCATTTTTATTACAGTGTCTTCAGGGCTGCATACAGGGAAGCAGTGTCTTCAGGGGATGCCAAGTTTTAATAAAGTGACTTTCCAAGGACAGATTGAGGATATAGTGGAGTTTGCTGATCATAGATTGGGATTTCCAGAGGATTTTGAGAGGAGGAGGATTAGACTGGATTCAAGTAGAGCTTCCCAACTTTTTCCATGTAATAGCCCACTTAAAAAATGAGCATATCTGTATGGCAAGTTAGGGTAAACAGATAAGACTGCTTCTTCTTATCACTCTAGTGGCAGTCTAGGGATTTCAACCATTTTAGGCCCTGCCAAGTTGCCTTGGGGAAGAAGGGGTGAATATTCAGAGCCATATGAGATGCAACGGATGGCTATGATGTTCTGGACCCGGATGATGTCTGAGGCAAGCAGGATGGGGATTAACCCCAATAATCTCTGAGAAAAAAAACAGGCAGTCAGTTAAAGCCATGAGGTACTCAGCTTGACATCAACTGCTCCATTCTGCACCCATGACCTATGTGACCGTA